AACAGAAGAAACCCCAAGAACATTAGCATCCCATGAGGAAGGCAAATCAGAACCTCTCAGTTCCTCCCAGCTCTTGAACACCAGGGCCAAGCACCACACTCCCCGCCATCTCCCTGCCAGCCCAAGTCACAGGCTTCCCTTGGGCACCTGTACTTCCCACCAAGTCCAGCTTTGTGAGCCCAGCTAGTCTCAAGGGTGTGACTGATGTGGCAGCAGACAGCTACTGCGTGCTCTGAGAACAAGGCAGGCTGGTTTGCCCAGCCTTATCCCTTGGCACCTAGGAGTCCCACAGCACATGGGCTGTGTTGAGCTGCAAGAGCAGCTCTTTTTCACTGCCACTCTCGTAGCAGCATTTCCCAGCTCTAGGCAGGCCCTACTCCCTCCTCCCCCTACCCTCTCCAAACCCATGCTTATTGAGCATTTTTGTCCTAAAATGACAAACCATGCACTTCTGCGCTGTTAGATGCAGTAGTAGAAGTACAAAGTTGAGAAAAAAGTAGTATTGTTTCAGGGTTCATGCACTTTCTCTAGGAGAGCTTGCACAATTGTATAAGACTCCTCTGTCATTCAGGTGTTAAGCGCACCCTGCAGCAAAATCATTCAGGATTTGGGGCCAGCTATGAGCTGCCTGTATTCATGTCAGAACACATGAGATTGCTTCCGAGGTCTGCCAGTGGCTGCTACTCCCCACAAAGACTAAAGGGGAAAGAGAAAGGAATGGATGTGCCTGGCTGACAGTGATTTGTCCTTGAGAAGCACCTTTAAACCTACACATTTGCTCATGTAGAACTAAGTTTCCAAATAAGCAGGTAGGCCCTGTCCCAGTTGCTGGAGAACAGTAGCCCCCAGGGATGATGCTATGCTCCTGGGTTTCTTGGTATTTGCACCTACTTTCTCTACTCTCCCTGAGTTTGCCCTCCACATGGAGCATAAAGAAAACTTTCTAGCATAGAAGGGGGTAGATGTGAGACCCTGGAGCACTTGGGAAGCTGACAGAGTGAATGCTTCATCCATTTTAGCACCTTCCCCACCAACAGGGTTGGAACTGAATGGGACAGCAAGGTTCCCAGGATGAGAAGTCATGGTTGTGGATTCAATCCCCCAGCTCACATCACAAAAATCACTCATTTGACAAGAGCAAAAGCCAACACTTGGGCACACCTGGGTGCCTGGCAGGCTATGTGTGTCTGACCAAGCCTCTGCCCTGCTACTTGGACCTTCCAGTAGTTCCAGTTCAGCTGTGTTCAGAGACAGATAACAACAAGCTGCTCACTAACATCGTGTAAGTTATTAAAAGGCTTCATGACATTATCCCAAAGTACATGAGAAATCATTCCCAGATCACCAGACCAGGCTGAGAAGCATTGAAGTACACTGGCTTTTTATTCCATGCATTGTTTGCTTTGATAGTCATTCTTGTTTCCATCACTGTACACTGTTCAATACAAAAAAAAAAAAAAAAATCAAGTTTGTATCAGGAGTCTGCAGAGCAGGGAGGAGAGAGATGAACACTACTGGACAGGGCCAAGATGAAATGGTTACTTAACACAACAGTGGGGAAGGCAACATTCAGCTCTGGGAGAAAATCTAGGCTAGTGTTCAGGAGCTGTCAGCAGCCATGAGCCCTGGATCAGGGTAGCTGGGATGCTGAAAAGGGAACCCATGGTTTAATTCTGTCCTGCAAATATGCTGTTACTGCGAGGAGGAAGCAGGGCGATTTACACCTTTCAGCCCCATACCCCGAGAGAAAGTGCGAGGAACTGCAGCAGAGGCGCCCATATGGCAACGTGGAGATCACATCTACGTGCAATTGTGGGTAGGTTTCACTAAAGAAAATGCCTATGTAACCCCCTGCAGAACTGACAGCAACCGTCCCAGGAACGCAGGGCCCTGCTGAGCCACCCCTGCTCGCACATAGCCAAGGGCACAAGATGTGTGTGCAGGGGGAGGTGTGATTACATCTCCACAGGCACAGGGTTATGTGTTTAGGCAAGGGGGGACAGCCCTAGTGGCAGTCCCAGAGGGACACTGCATAGTAGGCAGCAGTTAGGAGGAGCGACGGTGGACAGTAACAATGCAACAACCCAGGCACGTAAAGAAACTAGAGCTAAGTGTGGCAGCAGACAACCTGAAAGGTACAGCTCTGCTTTTCCAGGCTGCAGAATGGGCCAGCGTGTCCCTAGGCAAGGGCAGGGAGGAATCAGCATACACCCAGGACAGCTGGCCCAGAAGGGTCCTAAAATCCCACACATCAAAGCTTCTATGCTTCTCTACAAGCCCAGAGGAGCTTCATCACATGGTGGAGGAGCTCTAAGCAGAAACCACAGCTACCAAAACCCCTCCAGGATCTTTTTGTTAGGGACTGAATCATCGCAGACTGAAGTCCGTACACAGAGATTCTGACAGGCCTGAGCCAGAGGCAGATCTGCTTAGGGCCTGCTGCTGTAGGGCTGCCCTAGGACACCAGGGCTGCCCGCAGGCAGTGGGCACCACAGGGCCATGGACTGGGTTGGCATCGTGCTGCCCACAGGCAGTGAACAGCCCTGCCTGTGGGAGCTCAGGAAGCTTGCCAGATCTGAGTGGCACTGTCCCTCCAGGGGCATAAGGCCTGGCATCCTCTGCTGCAGGGGACATTTGATGGTAGTTCTCAACCTCTCTTTAAGCAATAGGTTGGTCTTTCCTCTTTGTGTGCGTATCTTACATGCACACAGTTCTCCACTGCTAAATTCCTGCACCCTGGCCTCTAGCCTCCTGAATAACTATCTGTACCACCTCTTCCACACCAAAACCTCTCTCACACCATGACAGCAAAGCCATCTCTGGCCCTGCCACCTCCCTCCAGCTGCTGGCCAAGAGACAAGAGAACATTTGCAAGGAGAAATGAGGGACGGGGAGAGGAAACAAGCCAGAAAAGAGCTTCACTTCCGTCCACATTCTGCCTTCACCCAGAGCTGAGTATTGCTTCTGCAGGCAGGGGTGAGCTGGTCACTCCCTCTCCAGCAGCCCATTTGGTCCTGCATGGGTGATCCACCATGTAGATCCACTGCCGGTCACCCCGATCTTGTACCCGCTGCCTGAAGCTGCTGCCCTCCTCTCCACTCATCCTTTTGGATGCTCTTGCCAGAGGATCTTGTGAAGGTTACTCACTTTGTGATCAATTCAAAAGCCACTCACTCCCTGATCACCATTTCCCACCAGCTCAGGGGCTGCCAACTCTACCAGCAACACGAGCAAACTGCAGCATCGACCACAAGAAATATCACAGGGCCCGTGGGGCTGACTGCATTCAACCCTCTGGGACCAGCCTGGACAGGTTCTCTGCTCTCGTATAACAGCATCCTTGGAAATCACGAGAGGCAGCAACTACTGACAGCTGCTGAGACCAGCTCTGCTCCCATCCCCCTCAGCAACCAGGGGGAAGGTAACATCACACAAACAGATTACAATTGTGCTAGCAGTGAAGCCAACCTTCTGATCTACAGAAATGATAATAAATAATAAAATAACATTATAACTTAAGATCTGTGTGTAGTCCAGCTACAAAAATTTAAAAATACGGGATAATTTAACTCATACAATACTGCTCTCTGTAGAAGTAAGACATTTTCCTTCATTTTGCCATGAGGCTATAAATTACCACAGTTAAACTCAAACCAATATTTTAACATAAAATGTAAACAAACAAATCAACAGAAGTACCTGTCCATGGTCCATTCCTGCCGTTCATCTCAGGCTGGTGTGCCAGTCTGCAGAGCAGCACCCAGCAGTGCAGGCGTGCACCATGCACGCATGGCACACCTGTGCCAGCCAGCACGCTAGGAAGGGCAGAGTGAAAGCTCTTGCAGGGGGACGGGGGACGAACATCAACTAAGGTAAAGGGGAAACATGCTCTATCATTTTGTTCTTTTTAAATATTGGTTTCGAAGAGTAGTGTTTGAAGGGAAGGCACTATGAGTTCTATCAGAAAACAAATTTTTCTCATCTGCCAATGCCTCAGCCTGTCACATACCAGTACTATCCTCACTGTCACCTGCAGAGTTTCAGCTTGAAGGAGAAACAGAGGCCTCAGGGTACACCCAAGACACAGCTGTGCCACAGCCACCATCAAGATTCCCTGTGCAACCTGTTTTGCACAAAGCCTGACATGAAGGGCAGGCAGCTGTTAATGCTTTCAAGAACATACAGTGAATAAGGAGACAGAGCAGGGCTGATGCTCTTATCTAGGCCAGTGATTCCCAGTCTTCCCCCTCAACACACAGCTCTCTGCTGGTTATCGATGCTGTTGTAGGTTGAGAGACTGCTTCTCTAATTCCAGTACAGGCATCTCCAGTTTCCTCCCCAGAAGAGTGCTCAGGCTCTGCAGAATGTGCTTTCCATGGTTTGCAAGTTCTTGCTTTTCCAACACTGATTTGATTGATTTCTTTGACTGACTGAAACAGATAGGAGGTAAGAGGAGGAAGTAAACTGGGAAATGGCACACTGCATCTGAAAGAGGTTTACCCTGCTCAACTGGAGATTGACACTGCCAGAGTGAAGCAAAGATGATGTTAAGAAGTGCTCTTATACCAATTCTTGAGAGGACGAGATTAGAATACATTTGCAGGATCTCACAACAAAATGCTGATTAAAAAAAGAAACTAAAAATCCTTAAAATAAAACCCACTATTACATTCCTGGGGATGTATAGACTCAGAAGACCCTGGATGTTAGCACCTCAGTACCAATTTTCTCCAGGAACATGTCCACCTTCTGATTAAAAATGACCCAGCTGGTTATACTGAATACGCTTTGTTCACAGGTTACCCTATAGTAAGGTCTTTTTATGCTTCCTCATTCAATAAGACTGAGTGGTTTAGTTTTCTTGATCTGTTCTCCAGTCTTCAGGGCCATGAGGCCTGGTCCCCTGTGAAAGCAGCAAGAGAATCCCCCTGTGTTTGTACGCAAAGCTGTCCAGGCAGGACTCCCAGGATGTTTCTCTGTAATGTGCTTGCTTTCTGAACTTTTTTTTTTGCAACAAGTCTGTGTGTCTATAAATACAATCCACTCTTTACAGTAAAAAGTGTTAAAATGTCAAAAAAATAAATATCCATGTTACAGTAACTAGATTATTCAATAAAATACATCCCTGCCATTCTTGATTGAAATGCTCAAAGAGAATTAATTTCATTTGGACGTTTTCCAGAGATTCAGGTTATTGCAAATCACTCCTGGGGTGGGAAGGAGAAGCATCTTCTCTTCCTGTAAAGTGTGATGAAGGGGAATGAAGTGGAATCCCAGGGAAAACAAAATGCCAGTATCAGGAAGCTTTGGGGGAGATCTGTATTACCAAGTAGCAGAGCTGCAGGGCTTATTGGTCCTGACTGTGGCATCAGAACACTCCCCTTCAGAAGAGTCACAGTCTGATTCTCCAAACTGTGCTGGGTTCTGCAAAGCAAAAGGAAAGGGGGAGATGTGAGCAACGTTTCCATACTGCAGATCAACCACACCATCCCTATCTATAACAGCAGACAGGCAAAGGTCACCACCAGCAAAGATGGAGATTGACAGCACACAGGAGACAGCAACAGCACACAGCCACCCTACCAAAGGTCCCTTGTCTCCCCTCAACAAGGGGACAGCAGAAAAATATCTTGTCAGAGCACTACCAAACGCAGATGGAGTTATGAGACAGTGCAGCAGGCTCTGCCCTACCCCTCCCAAACACGTGAAAGACAGTAAAAGGAAGAAAATCATTCTAGCTTCGTCAGTAAGGCTGCCAATGGATAAGTTTGAGGCAGACAGTTTATATCCGTTCTGTTTCATTACCTACTTTATGTGCTATTTTCTATCCCACTTCATAAAACTGCATATTCGATGGCCTCCCAATATCACACTCAGCCTGACCAGCAAATTATGTTCAGCTTTCTTTGTGCTTGTTTCCCCTGTCTACTCCTCTGGACAAGTATGAGAAAGACTGGGTATTTAAGCAGTTGCTTTGCTGTAGTACATCTACCACGGCATTTCCTAGGCAGTCATCCAACTTTCTGGCCCTTGGATTCCTTTCCATAACATTTATTTATTTATACTCAATAGAAGGAAGAAGGCATAACTAACTTACCTCACAGCTGTGTTCATCAGCATAAAGTTTGCCTAGAGACATCTGAGTCTTGACTCTCCGCACAGCACACTCTTTATCTGAAAGCCCATCGGACTGGGTGGATATTTCAATGGGGATCTCTGGAGTCTGGGACAACATGTCCTCCAACTTCTCAGCTAGCTCATCTTCCAGCTTGGCGGCCAGCTCATCCGGGCTGTTCGAATGATCGCTTGTGTTCCCCTCCTCGCCATCTGACACAGAGAAGTTCTCTGAGCTGAAGGTTGAGTAGGACTGGCAGCTGCTAATGCAGCGGTGAGGTCTGCAAACCAGGAGAGTAGTTCAGCTTGTATCACAGCACCTCCAATTGCAGAGGAAAACCAATTTCTTGGTTGCTGTGTTCAGCTACTCTGCTACAACCCACCTCGACACACTCCACTCCTGGTGCCCACTCAGCCGTGGGTGAGCCTGTCCCCTGGAGCCCACTGCCAGCTAGAAAAGTTTGTTGTGTCTCAGTGTACACATTTCTATGCACACCCTCACTGCACAGAGTAAGAATGAGCTGGCGAACCAGAGCAGCGTCAGTTTGAACGTAAGGAACTTACGTTCAAATATTTCCAACATGTAGCAAAGGTACCAGGCAGCTTTCAAGACATTTATCACGATCAAAACCCTCACAATGTTAGCAGTGCAGTGAATGCAGAGTGCCTGCTACATCCTTACACAGGCTCCCCCGCAAATCTCTCATCTTCCTTTCAGAAGTGCGCAATGCAGAGCAGATTTTTGCACCTGTACTTTTAACTAGCATCTTCAGCAGAACAAGCATAGGGCTTGCTTGCTCTAAAAGGCAGCCCAGGCTGCTCAGTCCTGCTCTCCCTAGCAGATATCACTCAGGCACAGTGCACGCAATACTGCCTGGTTGCTTCTCCACAATGGGGTAAGAGCTTGAACCTTCCAAAAATGTCTTTGAGCAAAACAGGTCCTTATCGGTAGCAAAGGCTTTACATCAACTCTCCAAGAGCCTCTTCTCACCCTGAGAACACATCTCCAGTTGACTCATAACTAATCTGCAAGGCTGGCAGCAAGAGCTCTGCAAAGTGTTGGGCTGCCTTTCACATCTTGGAGCTATGGAAACCTACCACCTTTTGAATGGTTTAGTACAAGATCCACATCTTTAAATTCATCTGTTCTTATTTGGTCTTCTCTGCTACACGTTCATACTAGCTGATCTGCTCTGGGACATATTTTTCTTTAACTGTCCTTTTTCCCAAAGAAAGGCTGTACTGTAGGGTTCAAGCTAATTCAACTGGCAGTATCTGCATCACCTGGCAGCGATCCCAACAGCCAGGCTAGATTTAGGTATGTGCGCTCAAAAAATAAGCTCACAGTTATTTGAATGTGGAAAATGCATCACGCCAGGAGTCAACAGTAATGGTACAAAGTATCAGTTGACTGAACACAACAGTCAGGAGACCCACAACAGGTGATCACACTGAATTCAGGAAAGGCAATTTGTCTTCCAAGTTAGTAGAATCATAGATAGCTTGGGTTGTGAGGGACCTTTAAAGCTCATCTAGCCCAACCCCCCTGCAGTGAGCAGGGACATCTTTAGCTACATCAGGTTGCTCAGAGCTCTGTCCAACCTGACCTTGAATGTTTCCAGGGATGGGGCTTCTGCCACCTCTCTCGGTAGCCTGTGCTAGGCAGCATCCCTGCACTCTTCCCAGGATACCTGTCCCTGCTTCCACTGCCCGTGCATTTCCTTCTTGCCCTTTGGTTTGCTCAGCAAGTCTCAACTCGGCCATGCTGGTCTCTTGCCTTGCTTTCCTGATTTCTTACACCTGGGGATCAAGAGCTCTTGTGCTCTATGAAAAGTATCCTTAAAGATCTGCCAGCTCTGTTCTGCACCCTTGTCCCTGAGGGCAGTTTCCCAGCCGGTCCTATTGGCTAACTCCTTGAAGAGCTGGAAGTTTGCTTTCCTAAAATTCAGGGTCCTGACTTTACTCTTTGCCTGACCCATATCCCTCAGGACTAGTAAATCTAGTGCAACAATTGCACAAGAACCACATGAGTCAGAAAACTCATCTAGCCCAGCATTCTGTCTCCAACCCTAGGTAGGAAGAAACAATCTGTGAAAAGCATAATAACAGGGTGTGCAGACAGAGCCTGCTTTCTCCTGGCATATCTCCCTGGTTTGTACCATTCAGCAAATCAGACTTCTGAGCTGACGATCAAACCTAGATGACAGTGCTTAACAGCCACTGATGGATCTATGCTCCATAAATTTCACACTTATGACTTGTTTATGTTTTGATTTCCACAGCACACCTTGACAATGAGTTCCACATCTGAAACTGTTTCAGATGGAAAATGCACTTCCTTTTGTTCATTTTAACCCCCGTTTGCTTCACCAGGTGTCCCTAACATGAACATGTGTGGAAACATTCCTTGTGTATTTCCTCCACATAACTCACAATTTCATGCATCTCCAGTATTGCCTTTCCTCCTGCTAGACAAACTTTTCTCAGGGATTTAATCTCTTCTTCTGTGGAAACCATGTCTAATAATTCTTGTCACACTTCTCAGTACCTTTTCAAATTTTACTATGGTCTTTGAGCTGTGGCAGTAAAGCTGGCATTTAGGACTCAAGCTGCAGGTATGCTGTGGATGAACAATAGCAGAAAAGCTTTTATTTTCTTCTCTGTTCCTTTCCTGACAACTTTAACCTATTTGCCCACTGGATCACTTCTGCACTTCAAGCAGCTGCTTTCATAAAGTTATGGCACCAATTCCATGATCTCTTTCCTGAGCACAGGGCTGTAAAGCCCACTATTAAATAGGCTTAGGTAGGAATGACCCCACAAGCCTTATTTTACAGGCAACACCATCGATCTGCCATGTCACCTAGCTCTTCAATCCTATTTGAATTCAACTGCAAAGGTGTTGGGTCTGCCCCACTGCAGCAACAGTTAATAAACCACACTTGAAAGAGTCCACAAAGGGTCTCAACATCCAGTAAGTCTGTTTCTGGTGAAACAGATGCAGCAGCTTATAGGCTGAATAACATTATCAAGTGTGATCAAGCTGTGCTACAAATGGCTTGCAGCAGAAAAGCTATGGTAGAGATAACATCTCGTAACAGGCTGAAAACAGTGAGTGAACATGAGGGATCAACTGAGGGTGGATGGGATGAGATTGTTCTTTCGCCAGCATCTCCCACAGTTTCAATGCTGGTATGCAGCTCCTAGAACAGTTCTCCCCCAAGTTTCATCCCACCAAAGAGAGATTAGAGTGAATTCACCTTTTACCTTTGTCTACGAGGAAACTCCACTTCACTGTCTACTTCGCCCTCTTCCTCTTCTGAAGAGTCATCACCACTCTGGCAGAAAACAAGGACAAGAATGGTGTCACATTTGTGAAAGAACGAACATGGTTGCCCCTTGGTCCTCCAGGACAGAGTCACTGTGTCAACAGACTGCAACAATCTAGACAAGAAAATGACCTGCATATCAGTGAAAACTGACTCAAGACATTTTCTTACCAGGAGATTATTTCAGGCAGTCTTAATGCTGCCATTTCTGAATTTGGAGTGATTGACTTTGAAATACACTGCACTACTTTAGCAGGCACTGAGTAGATAACGTTCCAGATTTTTACAGAAGCAAATCAAGTAATTAGCATCATATTGAAATCCACATAAATTATTGAGCTGATCTGTCACTCTTGGCTTTATGACTTCAACCTTCTTCTGTATGAGCACATCATAGATCAGGATGGGGGATGGCACAGACTTTGCTCGTGGGTTTCACCAACTAGGAAAACTTGGGTTTCATTCCATTCTCTACCTCAGTGAGCATAGAGCCTTCTACTCTCCTTTTCCCATCCAAATCCACCCCCTGCACTCGTGCTTTTTACAGCTGCCTTCTATCCTATCTAACCTGCCAACCCCTCGTTCAGACTCGGCCGCTATCTCATCTCATCCCATCCCCTTGTAATATGAAGTCCTCTTCCTCCCTTCATACTGGGCCCAAAGCACACTCTTGGTCTGGTACTCATCCTCTTTTCCTTCACTCTTCCACCCAGGCCCAGTTTTCCTGCTCTTTGAACTTTGAAATTGATTCCTACTTCTCTCACCACCTGGATGGAAGCAGGAGGAATGAAGAACTGTTTCTGTACAACTGTGCCATAACATCTTTTTGACTCTTGCAAAACCTTCACAAAATACATGAGAACTATGATCAAGGGGGACAGTTTCTGGCAGGTGCAGCAAAAGGTATGTTCCCAAGACCATGGCAAATGTTGAATTTCTATTCCGAGGCACAGCAGTGCTACAGCTTCTCCATTAAACTGTTACATGATATTTAACATCACCAAAAGAATGCATTTATCCCTCCCTTTGTTTTGAGAAAAGCTTGAAAACATTTTGAGACTGTTTCAACCACAAAAATTCAGTAGACTAGGTTTCAGCTGAAACAAAAACTGGCTAAATTGCAAGTAACAGAACTAGGCCCTATCAAAACCACATTTGACAACCCTCATTATTAGCAGTATGCTCCAGTATGCCTACAGTACTTCTCAATAAAATTGACTTTAAAAGTATGTCCAGAACACAAAGCAAAGTTCAGATTGCACGATTTCTTTAAGATAAAGTTGTACATGTAACTCTACTGCTATGTGTGTGGGAAACCTGGCTTTGCTACTATCCTATATCCAGACACTAGCCTGTGCTACACACCTTCTTTTGCTGGAAAGGGAAAAGAGAAGCAAGATTTGTTTTTTTTCATATCACTATGCTTCGTCCTTACCTTTTGAAGCAGTCTTGCTTTGCAAGGTAGCACTGAGGAAGCCATGTGCTGGGGAGTGCCGAGGACAGACGCTGACTTACAGTTGCTGAAGCCCTCTTCCTCCATCTTCTCAATGAACTGTGCATTTTCATATAGGGAAACAGATGCTGGTGACTGAGAATGGCTCATCCCTGTTTCAACAGATGACATCTGTACCTGACCACTGTCCTCTTCCCTGCACTGAAGACAGGAATTATACGGATCTGTTTTGCAACACTCCCAATGATCAGCTTTGCTTTCTTTGCTCTCCAGATTCCTTCGGCAATCTGCTTCCATGGCAGCAGAGATGAGATCAGGGCTGGAACCAGACATCCGCCTTTGCGCGTGGTTACTGAGCGGGCTCCGCAGCGCTGCTGCAGGGCCAAAGTACCTTAAGTTGTTTGCGCAGTTGGCAATATCTTGTCCGTGGGCATGAAGCCGTGAGTGATGACCATGGGGATGGCTATGGCCAGGTTGCTGCGGTAGGCTGGGGTGATGAGAATGATTATGAGGTGGAGGTGCATCATCTTGCACTGGCTGGTTTTTCAAGATCCCTGCAAAATCATTGTAACTGCCTTTGCTGTTCCCTCGGCGGTGACGTGGCTTACTGCGGTAGCGGCTTTTGCCACTCAGTGTTGACATTTTGGGACTCCCTGAGACTGGTGAGCCATTGGATGCTGCTTCTGTGCTGGGTATGCCCTCTGACTTCAGTAGATCTGGCCTGAGAGATAGTCATCAGAAGTTACACATTAAACCACAAACTAAGAAATCACATCAGCTTGGAGTGAGGATGAAGAGGCAGCTGTAGCCATAAGCACACTCTGCTTTCTAAAATCTACAGGCTTCCCTTCTCTTCAGCTGTTTGACTTTTGCATTTAGTTTCCTTTGATCCCCTCCACTCAGTGTCCTTTCTGTTCAGCCCATCATGCTCTACACTCCTTTCTTGCTGCTTTTTCCAATATCTGCCACATACTCTTCTTTTTCCGCTCTTATTTTGATGTTCTGCTTCCAAAATAGCTCCCTCCTAAGACCTTGGTGTAGGGCATGTCTCTTACTATGTGCATATACAATGCTCAGCACAATAGGGCCCAAACTGCTGATGGTTATCAGCCTGCTCATTTCAGAAGCATATGTAGGTATTAATTCAGAAGTTATTATTAACTGTTAATTAGGACTCTAACTCCTGGAAATCCCAGAAAAGAGAAGAATAAAATAGACAGATCCTCTGGAAAAAAAAAATTCACTTTCTGAAAGTCATGCAGAAGAGAAATAGCTGAAAGGACAGCATGAATTCCCAAATCTCAAATCCTAATTTAATTCCACGGTGATGAATCCATTCTCCCTGAGGACTGGCTGACTTCCACAATCCCTCACCCTGTTTATTACTGTTCAAGTCAAGGACGATCTAACTGCTCTCTGCTTGGACAGTTAGGAATTTCAAGACACACATTAGATACTTCCTGTCAAAGCACCATCATCTATGAAAAAATCACAGGGACCAAATGGTTCCAGAGGGCTGCCCAGGTAAAAGGGATGGCAGGATCCATCCCTTTCACCTTAATATAATTAAACAATTGTGGTTCTGAGGATCCGACCAGGCCCAAGAGTGAACATCCCTTTGGCTTGTCCTGCGTTGTCGTCAGACTCAAAGGGAAGCAAGCTGCCTGCTCATCTCATCTACTGCTGGTTCCTGGAATAGAACTAGGTTATCGCTTCTTACCGTTTAGTCTGGCTGCCTGGTTTATGAGAGACTCCCTTCCTCTTCATCAGCTTCTCCACTGTATTGGGGTGGATTATTGGTCTGACTGGGTGGCGTTTATAAGTCCCAGGGTATTTCTTTTCCACTGCTTGTTCCCTCCTGAAACATTGGGGAAGAAAAAAAAACCCAAACAACAAAACCAGATCAGTTCTGTCTTTATTCAACTGCAGCTCCTGCTGGACAGAAACACAGCTCCACTGTGAGCACACTGCGTGCCTAGTTCTCAGCTACGGCTGGGTGCAACACTACATGCTGTTCTAAATTTTCTAAATTCTCTCTGCAGAGATCAGGCAGTTGGAACAGGACCCTGGTGCACAGTCCAGAAACAGCACTGCTTTTCTCTTTACAAAGGGGCCAAAAGATGCCAACACCAAACGGGAAAGGTGCCTTTCTCCTAGTCAGTAAACCCTGGGTAAAGATATGTGCACTAAGTGGTCTGCAGTAACCTACTCTTAAGGGGCCTCTCTCTTAAGCTTGCCAGCTCCTTCTTTACCCTGGAAGTTTGTTAGGGGACACTAAATCTACAAGTATCACTCTGCAGTTTAGAAATGAAGCACTGTTTTTTTTCCTTCTGTATGCATGGCATGCCATTATGCCCAGAGATACATACTTTATGAGCTCCTTCTCACGGACCTCCAGTTGCAGCATAATAGCGCTGAGCTCCATGTATAAGTTATTGGCTCGCTCCAGCTTCCTCTCGTAGTGTTCACGGATATCTAATGCATGTCTGAAAAACAGAAAAGTCATTATTCCACAGTCTGATGTCCAGGGACCAAGAGAGCGGAATAAGGAAAAGCACAGGTGCTTTAGGAAAAGGCCTTCTAAAAGTCAAATTTGCCACCTGTATTGCACTGAACCCCACACAGAGCTAACAATGAATGACAATTAAAAGAGATTGATACAGCAGTGAATCATAAGACTTAGAAAGCATTTAACAGTCTTGAAAGAGTGGCAACATTTCTCACTAGAGAAGCTGCAAATGCCTCACATGCATCCACAAGCCCTTTGGCCATGCCCTGATCATCCTGCTTGTGCAGAGAAGGGGCTAAGACAGCTTCTGAAGAAACAGAAGTCGTCTGTTTTTATTTCATAAAGAGCAGTATGCCCCTACAACTATAGTTGCAGAAGACATCTTGAACCCCAGCTGAAAGATGTGACTATCAAAAGCTCCCTAGGGCTAGGGAACACTGATCAACAGCTGCATCAAACTGGCTGAACAAGGTTTCCTTCAGTTTCTCAGGTTTGACACAGAACTGCTACTTGCTGTTTTGTTTCTCTGTCATACCTATATTTGCAAATTTGTAACACAAAAGACAACACTTTCCTTTCTTAAATAAACATTCTGCTTTCATTTTTAAGGTGGTCTAATGTTCAAATTGAATTACAGTGGGCTGATAGTGTGTTCACTCCCAGTGGGCTGGGAGTGTGTTCAGTTCTCTGGAAATAACTAATCCAAAGAAAGTATCAGGGAAGAGAAAGCTCACAGCAAACTACAAGATGCATTTTCCACTAAGATGGATGCACCTGCTTCAGTGCTGTTATCACAAACACAAAAACTCAGGCAGAAATATTCCCCGGTAAACACACAAGCCTTTGCCCCTCTTGCCTGGAGCAAACTGTTCAGACTGCCCAAAAGCAGGGACAGTTGCCACTATTTCTCTCTATATAGCTTTCCCTCAGCCAAGCAGTGCTCAAGGCTTAGAGCATGCGTGTAGGAACTTCAGTTTCTGGACTCACAAGGAATTTAGGCTGCCTGAATTTATGCCACGACGAATACTGAGTCCTGTTTTGGGGTCCTCAGTACAAGAGGAGCATGAAAACAATCAGGGGCTGAAGCACACACCCCATGAAGAGAAGCCGAGGGAACCGTGCTCATTTAGCTGGAGAAGAGAAGGCTGGATGGAAAAAGTGAGCAGTAAACATAAAAGACTGTCAACACACCTCAGCTCTTCTCTTCGACGACGAATCAATTCTTCATCTAGCCGGTGGATACAAGTTCCTTCGCTTTTAATTTTCTCAAAATGTTTCTTCACTTCTTCTCTCCATTCAGCCTAGGGAAGGAATTTACTTTCAGGTATTTACAAAAGATTAGGATCCCTGGTTGCACCACAGTAAAACTCTTGGGCATCACTCTCTGTGTCTGCAGAAAATTACAGGTTTGGCTTGAAAACATGGGTTTGTTAGCCGAATTATTTTGGGCAACAACATTTTGAAGCATGTTTAGTTTCAGCATTTTCAAATGGCATTTCCAATTCTGTGCTCTGATCAGATCATTTACAACATATCTGCATTTTCTAAGAAATATTTTTTAAAATTCCTAAAGCTCTTTTCGTTCTAAGACAACATTTTCTTCCCTTTTGGCATTTAAAGTGAAGAGAAAGGGTTATGATTTGGAAACTATACTTGCGACAACGATCACTGTCACTAGGGTGATGCTAACTCTATTTGCCTCTTGAAGCCCTGGTTCTTGCAGCTTTAATAAATGCATCCACCTCCTCACATACACCCCAACAGAGCATAGATCCTCTGCACTGGAGGCAAGGTTTCACACTCATTCCCTCCTTGGGAGCAGACAATGGCTCCCTGGGTAGAACTTAGAGGAATCTCTACAAACATACTTTTAGATCTTCACTGCCCTGTAACAGCTCTCTGTCCCACTAGCTGCCCTGCTCATCTTCACTACAAATGCAATGGTTCCACTCTCAGCAGTCTCATGGTCTCCTGTACAGCAGTACTGGGAGAACAGCTGGGAGCAGAACACCTGAAGTGAGTAGTCTCAGAGAACTGAATGAGACAACATTGAGTTTCTGAATGAAGTTGGCAGATGTCGCAGTTTGTGAAAGCTTGGGTAAAAGATTTTAAAATACCCATCAGTTTGCTTCTCCTCAGGAATCAAACTGAAATCACAGATCCAGACTTCCACTGTACTCGAGGTAGCCTCCAAAATCAGATCCTTGAAGCTAACTCCAGTACTTATGGGCTACAGCCATTCTCCAGTTACCTGTGATTTGAAATACGTTTCCTGAGGAGTAGCCAGCACATCAGCAGATGCAATATCCAAGTGCATCAGTGTCTGCCGGAAGGACGGACGATTCCGGGGCTTGCTCTGCCTGGAGCAAAACAGACAAATACCCAAGCATGAGATGAGGTTAACATTGCCAGCTTTTCCTACCCTTCTGAAAGAGTTTCTCACTAGAACATACTCTCTAAATCGTGTAGCTGACAGCTTAGAGCAAAAGAGCTTTTCTGATTTTCTCTTTTGTTGAGTATGAGTTTATTGTGCTCGAGTTGTTTTGTATTCAGTTTTTGGTTTGTGATGATCTATTCTGAAGAAACAAAAAGAGATTAAAACAATTTAAAATAGGAAAACATGATGACATGAAAGATAGGATACCAACTGAAACTGTTCCTAACTTGTCTGTCAAGAAGAGACAGATCTTAGTTCATTATCCCATTAATTTCCAAATTTTATAATGGGAATACTCAATTAAGTAGAAATGATAATTTACATTCAATGAAACAGGGTATCTATAAACACCAAATGTATCTATGTTGCCACATAGTGCAGGCCTGAGCCTACACAGTACTGTAATGCACTGAACATCTCTGTAAGATCCCATTCAAGTACAAAACCATTTGTATCTTTGAGAAAAGAGACTAGCACTTGAGCTCCAGGACTGAACTCACTGGACTTGCTGCACGGATTCAGTGCTCAGGACAAGAAACAGTTTCTTCAGCCACCTCTCTCCTCCAAACCACCTACTTCCACTAGGTGGGGATACAAGTGTATGTACTCGGTGTTCAAAGCTGCAAAAATCTGCTTCCTGCCTTTTGCAGCCATGGACAGAAGCATGGCCAGGCAGAGCACGTCTCAGCACAGATACTGCAGCAGGTTGTGCTGTTGCAGCTCAGTGTCAGGGCGCAAACAGCCACTTGAGAAGATCCATAGATGCTCTGGCCTCTTTTTCCCTTTGTGCCATCGGGAGGATGGCTGATAAAACTCATGGAGTGGGAAAATGCTGGAAGACCACTTACACTCTGCGTCAAGATGCAATTACAAAGACAAAGCATTAATGTATAACACAAGACTAAGAATTTCAACTCTAATCTGGCATGTGGAGGAAACTGAAAGCATTTTCCATATCTATACCCGTTGAAATCCTGGTTTCATACAGAAAGCTTGAATTTCTCTTTGTCCAGTTCAAAAGCCAGTCCCTTACAAGGGAGTTCCAGAGTGAAAAATCATTCCAGTTCACCCTTGAGCCAACCTCAAAAAATTTTACCTCTACTTTCCTTGCAGCTCCTTTTCTTTTCCCACAGAGCTACCTTTTACCACCTACTTTGCTACAACAAAGCAATCAACTCTGTGAAGGCCACTGAAGACGACCGTTGTGCTGCCTGCTCCTGATTCATGCTGGACAAGCAACTCCTTGGTAACTGTCACCCTGCCGGGGCTCCCATCAAGCTCTACTCTGACATTTCTCTCCTGTTCAGCTCCTTCCCCCTCACTAGCCACCTCAACAGTGTCTGCCCGCTCCTTCCCCTGCCCTGTCCACCCAGGAAACCAGACAGGTTTCTTCCTACTTCTTCTGAGCTGGTCCTTCTGGGGCCCAGCCTGCTGCCACAAGGAAGCAGAAACCAAAATGTTAAAACTTATTGCCTTTGTGACAAATGTGAGAGTATTTAAGAGCCATCTGCTCTGGGCTCAATGCTCCCACCCTGGCTCTGGTTTCATTGGTTTTACTGGGAGTCTGGCTGTGCGGGGTTCAGGCTCTTACCAGGTCTGCTTCATGAGGATTTTGAAGCCATCTGGGCAGGTGGAAGGGACAGGAAGGTGCAAGCTGTTGCTGCCCACTCCCCAAATTATGGCTGAAGAATCCACATCCTTGTAGGGAATCTCTCCTGTAAGCAGCTCCCACAAAACTACCCCAAATGACCTGATGAAGAAATAAAGCAGGATAAAAGCTTGTGTGTTAATTCAATTTAACAGCAACATCTGCAGCTTGAAAAAAACCACTGTTTGTTTGGCAAAACAGAGAAATAGGTATGTCTGGTCTGAAATTACGAGTAGGTACAACAGTGTTTACATACTAGCTTTTAACCAAGAGTAGCTATTTCATGTACCAGGTAACTCTTCCTCCTCTGCCCCAGCACTGGGGCTGAACATGAAACCACATGGGTTTTCACTCACTCTTTTGTATTTCTTCGTGAGACTTCAAAAATCCAGAAAGCACATTTTCTGTATAGATTAAATCTCACTTCTCTTAATCGAAAAGGAAAGTTTACTTTTCTGAGATAGACTTTTGACTGTTCTTATTGGTAAGAACAGATCATGCACTACTGGACAGACAGAACTGATAAGTGTCTTACAGAGACAACATAACACAGGTTTTGTGGGTTTTTTACATTTTAATTAACTTTTTTTTCCCCCAGCCAGAAGCTCCTTCTGCTGTTATGCACACTCCTAGTCTAGGTAAGAGCTTCATAGGTTTGAGAATCAGCACTACAACTACTGCAATATAGAAATTAAGAAGTAAATGCAACATGCATAAGTGTCAGTATCAAAAGCACATTCAGTGCCATCTGATATTCCTTTTGTGCTGAAGAAAGGAAAGCTAAAGAAAGAAAAAAATTAATTAAGAGAACTCTGCCTGGAAAAGAACCTCCTATTCAAGAACAAAACAATATAGGTAAGAAAATTCACTTTGCTTCTCTTCCTTACTGAAATGATTAGCAAGGACCAAAACCTTAATTTATAACAGCAAACAGTTATTTGTTTTATTTACAATCTTCACCCAATAAAACATCAAAGAAATATCAAACCAGTCAATACAGAGGTAAACAAAATGCTGCTGAGAACTGACACCACTCTTACTGCACATTAACAACCAGGCTGTGATGTGAGGTACAACCATCTCAATTACAAACCCAGACATTATCACCTTACCTGCATGCCCCATCCATCTGTGAGACACCAACCCTGCCAAGCTTGATGGCAAGTCAAACCAGATGAAAAGTGAGAAGCGTGTTTCTGGCTTGTACTAATATCAAGTTGCATTTATTAAGTACAGAAGAACATCTAAGGGACAAACTGCCTGGGTCTGAACAACCGTCAGCGAGGAGACAACTTCAGGTGAAAATCACTGCGCTTTCAAAGCCCACTGACTTCAAATTGTAGGGGGGGGGAAGAAACAAGCAGAACTGGAACATTTTTCCCCTCAAAATACTTTTCTGTGGGTTGCAGGAAAGCAGGGATCCAGGTGGTTAGACAAACTACCAGGAAACCCCAGCTGGTTTCAGCTTTATTATGATTAAGAACTAACAAAGGATTTTCAAGACTCCTGATAAGATTACAGATCTATCTTTTTTTTAGCATGCTATTAAAGATGAGAGAGAGAGCAGACATATAAGCAGCTTAGGAACTGTTCTCATTTGTTGTCAGCAGTCATGAGCACTGCTTTTCCTCATCTTGGGGAAGGAATGGATGCCAAGGAGTAGTTTGAGCAATCACCACTGCAGTGGACTCAAGAGCAACTTGCACTGAAGGCACCTCTAGGTTTGCAAAAAGCAACATCTCTCAGTCACTGAGGAAAGGAGTAAAGGAGTGCCCACGGTCCTCAGCACAGTTAGCAGCTGTTTTTTATTGGACATGATGTTCACACAATATTCCCGAAACTAAGCCGCTCTAAGGGACAGAAAGCTGAGGGTGGAAAACCAGCACCATCCCTCCTCCTGAACCTGTGACTCAAAGCGAAGAACTCGGAAGACAAATGGTGAGCCTGTTTTCTTTCCAGAACAAGCTAAGAGTTTCTCCTAGAAGAGCTGGCTATGCTACGGCCTGCTACATCCACACAAAATGAACATGCAAAACACCATGGTCGCAGCAAGAATAGCTGTATACTGCAGATTACAAAACTTTCCCTATAGGATATCTTGACTTAAAATCAAGACCCAGCTCTGAGCTAAAACAGCAGCAGCAGGCTGCTGTCTGACTCCACTCGTACTCTGAACCACCCGTGGCTTTGACCTGCAGCTTCATCATGCGTTAAGGGAGGTGACAGCATTTGAAGCTGAAAAACCACAAGAAAGAAAATTCATCCTGGCTGTAAAGCAGGGAGAAGGGCATTCATTCTGGCTACTGACATTTAATATGCAGAAATAACAAGGCAGAAACAGAGATGCAGTTCGCTTGAGGACATTGAAACCTGTGGAGTGGCATCCCCAAGGAGCTTCAAGGCAGAGTCCTCTCTCAAGCATTTTTAACAGCATGGAGATCTGAACCTTTCCTTGTGTTCCTTTGGACACAGAGTACTTTTCACATGGGATGGAAACAGGTGTTCAAAACTCTTACAATGTAACCTGGTTTCCTCCCTCTTGGATCTGAGGTTAGATGCACTGGACCATAATTCTGTGGCTGTATTTTAACAGCCAAGCCCAGTATGCAGAAAGCAAAAGGTGGTCAGACCCTTTGAGCTAGCAAAGCAGAGGCCTCCCTACAACTCAGGTGTGGGCCTGAAGAGGGTACAAAGCAAGTGAAAAACACCCTGGCTGCAGACATTGTTGAGGGGGCCCTGAGCACTAGGAGTGGAAGAAAGCTCTGGCCTGAATAATGACACAGGGAAGAACTACTGCATTTGCTTACTGCAAGACACAGATAGCCTGCACCGAGTCTCATTAGGTACCTTTACATCTTGACAAGCAGCTTTCACACATGTATGTCATTTCCCTTTCCATTATAGCCCATAACACAGTAACAAAGTTCAGGGCACAAGGTAGATGGAGAAAGGAACAGTCCACCACAGAGCAAACTATCCCCATCACTCTAGGATGAGAAGAGTGCTGAACACCTAAAGTGCTGGGAAATCAAGTGGCTAAACAGAAGGTGAAGATACTTAAACTTAGTGCTACTCACCAGATATCCACCTTTTCAGAGACGGGCTCATTGCGTATCACCTCAGGGGCCATCCAAGCCACAGTTCCCGCAAAAGACATTTTGGTACTTTTATCACTGAGTTCTTTAGATGTACCAAAATCTGAAATTTTTACTGCATCTGTGTGTGTAACTAAAACACTGGGGGGAAAAAAAAAAAAAAATAAATCAGCATTTTGCAATTTTTCTTGTATCACAACAGCCACTGGGAGTAAAACCCTTCTTAATCAATGCCAACAGTTGATGAAGCCATGCTGTTCACAACTGCAGTAAAGAAAAGATTATGCATTTTTCACCAATGAAAGCACTCACTTTCTTTGGGGTGGTTATACCTCAAATGCACTTCTAAATGCTACAAGTCAAAAATCAATCTTGATAAAACCGTGAATTAGCAAGTCACTGAAGAGCCACCATATCTGGGGACATTCCAAAATTTTAGTAAAGCTGTACCTTAAACTGCACTATAAACCATCTAAAAGTATTATCTTAATGCACTGTCACAGTCATGTCGCAGACTAAAGAAGTGATAAACATTTAGGAAATAACAATATAAGCAGCCAGACAGTTTTAGTCAGAAAGCAACAGAGAAATGAGAAAGATGCATTACAGAAAACCAGGGAAATAATGAAAGAACAAATAAGAAGGAAAAATAAAAAAGCAGAAGATAACAGAATATCCCACTTTCAAAAAGGACCAGACACCATAAAATCATTAGAAATACTTTCTGACTGCTATTTATCATGTAAGATATTGGTAAAGTTTCCAGTCTTGTTAAATTGCAGCACAGGAGAAGAGTGCCAACAAGTTTCATTAGTTTCATTCTCATCAGTTTTGAGTCAACACAGCAAAAAAATAACAGTGCTTTTGACCTAGCTTTAAACTATTCCTCGAGAAAAAAAGAAAAAAAAAAAAAGATAACCACAACTGGGGGATGTTTAAGCAGCTACAGACTCACTTTGGTGACTTGAGGTCTCGATGGATGATTTTGTGAAGGTGCAGATAATTCATCCCACTTGCAATCCCCGTGGACCAATCCACAAGCAACCGAGGAGTGACTTTCCGCCCTGCTCGCAGGACTTCGTAGAGCTGTCCATGTGCACAGTACTCCATGATAATACAGTAGCATGGGGCTTGAGTGCACACTCCCCTGTCAAAGACACACAGCTCGTGAGGCTCAGTAGAGGAAAAGTCCCAGTGCAACTCTCAAAGTTGGCAATCAAGCGGCAGGACAGTAATCTACTTCCTCTGCCTGGGCAAGGCTCTGCTAACAGCTCTCCTTCCTGAACAGGAAGGGGAACGTTTCCTGCATGCTTTGGACAGGAGGAACCCCATTTGTGACAGGTTTGGGTTTCGTTCAACTTCCACACCTGCAGATTTGTATGGTTCACAGCAGGCATTTTGTGAGCCTGCATGCAAAGTGCAGCATTGGGTGAGAATGGTGTCCATAGCTTTGTTTCCACAAGACTGTGCGACAATTTGAGAGGAAGGATGACCACCCATTTTGTCCTATAGACAGCTTAGTTCCTGGATTTGAACAACTTGGCCAGGAATGCATAAGCGAATGGCTCTTCCCTGGATAAAGGTACATTCCTAACAAGCTTCACAACCTACTTGAATGCAATGATGTTAGGATGTTTAAGTTTCCGCAAGTGCTTGATATCCGTTTCATTCTGATCTCTCACTTTCTTGATCGCCACCTCCTCTGCCCGGAACTTGCCCAGGAAGACAGCTCCCTGCGCACCACTGCCCAGCCACTGCAGCTCCGAGATCTCCTCAAACGGGACCTCCCAGGTATCTAGGCACAGGCAAACAAAGGAAACAACATAAAAGATCAAGACCACAAAACGTTCTGCTGTAAGATCACACCAGGACAGCACCTGCCACCTCCCTTGCTGAATCTCAGGGTGGATTTTTCTGGGGATAGTAGATGGCACCTTCTCCTGCTACAGGCACAGCTGAGGCACACATCGCACATGCTCAGCCCCAGCATCCCTTTCGTCTAGCTCCTCTCCCTCATCACAGTCACCTCCAGCCTGTTCCTTCCCATTCTCCCAGCTACTGTTTCAACAGAACTTACCACCACTGCAAATGGCTCAGGTGAGCCGCTTTGACTCGGCAGGCAGCAATTCAACATATCAGGGACACTGAATTGGCAATTTAGGGAGGAGGTCCTCTACTCCAAAACTGAATGAGGATGGTATCTCTTATAAAGTACGTGACTCTATTGAAGAGCATAGATGAGAAGAAATATTTAACATTCACACCTGACATAAAAAATATTGGGGGGTCCCGTCCCGTCCGTGTCCCCGTCCTGTCCGCCCCCACCCCCCTGAAATAGGGCAAAAATAGGAAATAAAAAGGAAAGTCAGAGGTGGCAGGTTGTAAAATGTGGACCAGTAACCAAGTTCACTACCACCACCAGTCACAGAAACAAGTCTTTCCCACACCAACATTGTGTATATCAGTGTCAAATAGGCAAAAAAAATCTTAAGGGATTCCTCCTCTTAGGTACCCACATGCATCTTGTATGGATACTGCCAGAGTGTCCAGTAGCACTGCATAAACTGTTTCAAGACAGTTGTACCCATCAGAACAGAAGGATTTGTCACTGTCTGTGAGTCACCTTGAAGCTACCTTAACACCCCACAAACAGGAAGCTAAAAGGCAGGCAATAATTTATTCACTGTAACTCAATAAACATGTACGTTTAAAGAACAAATAAATGAGCAGCAAAAACAAGTAACACACTGATTTCTGAAACAGTCACACCTGTACAGATCCCTATTTCAGATAGCTACAAAGATGTGTCGTCTTGTTTCATTCAGCCTCTGAGCCATTGGGCTGTTTGTTCCCAGGGCTGAAACTGGGATTATGCAGAAGTGTCTATTTTAGATACTGTCACCACTGAAGGGAAACTTACATACCCAAACTGTCTTTGGACTGATCCTGATTCAAATCTTTCCCTCAAATCAGTCCTGCAACAGTTAGACACTAGTTGGATGTCTCCTGTCAAATGACTCTCTCCAGGCATGGCCAAGGAAAGCCAGCTCCCATCTAGAGCCAGACCCCAGTGCTCGTTCTGCTCACTGAACAAGAAACAAAAATTTCCTTCAACTTGGCAGGGCAAAGTTCAATCCTTAGCATGTTTCTCCACAGACACAAGTCTATTCTTCATACTGATATATCTGCTTGCAACCTTACATTGTACAAAAATATTAAGACTGTGTATGCAGCTCTCAACTGAAATGCATTATAACTATGCAACCCCGGTAACCATGGATTTGCTGCAAATGATCCCTATCCTCAATTTTCAAGAATGTCATGACATTTTGAAGGTGATAATGCCTACCAGCAAACATGTCCTTTGGTATTGAAGCAAGAAATGCCTGTCCGCGTAAGACCCTAACAGAAACTAATGCATGAAACATGCTGTGACCACTATCTTGACCACAAGGCATTCAAGTATTTTAAAATAATACGCATTCTTCTTCACCAAACAACTTGAGCAATTTTTTGTCACAATACTTGTAACTGGTATTTGATTCTTTAGACATTTAGACTTTACAAGACAGTTCTTTAAAGAAGGAAAATAAAAGAAAATAAGAAAATTCATAAATAAATTCAGAAGATCTGTATTTCTATTTAACTCACACATGCATTTGCTTCTGAAGAAGGTGGCAAATACAGTTGATTTTTGTGTTTGTTGATGAACAGCATTTTTACATGAGCAACACTGAAACTATTCCATTGTACTGAAATGGGTGTTTCTTTACATGTGAAGACTGCCTTTCCTGTACAAGGCACGGAACATTTATTTCCCTGAAGCACCCAAAGTTTGTAAGCAGCAATGGGTAACTATATTGCTAGCACCTAATTTGCTCTAAATATTACCTATTAATCTACACAATGGCAAAAGTAGAGAGACTGTAAACAAAATAAGCAAAAGTTCATCAGCTTTCTCCTGCAAAGTCATGCCATGTCTATTTGGTGAGACGCATCCTTTCCATTTGCACCCTGATCACCAAGGGCATGATTCAGGGAAGAGGTTTCGGTGTAGCAACAATGAGAGAGCCATCCTACATCTTTGGGAATGTCAAGAAGAACAAAGAGCCAAACCATATGTAATGTATAAGGCAACAGTAAGACAAAACCCCCAAAAAACCTTTCCGCTGTACAAGAGCATGTTACTACATTTCAAGACAGCAAGCATCAGTGTTTCATTTGGCTTCCATAATGTATCAAGCACTGAAAAGCTTCCCAAAGAAAGTGACACTGGTGGAGAAAAGCACTGGACTATGTTCAATTGAAAACTGGGGTTTGCTAGTATTAGTGGTGCAAACCTGCATTTTCTACTACAGCCCAAACCCACCGATTAGAAAATACATCTAAATTACCCTGTGTATGTGTTCCCTACAGCTCCCTGGGACCACCCTCAAGGACAACAGGCTGACAAGGGTCACTATTACAAAGTTAGTCCTACCAGTTCTGCAGAGGGGCAATGGACAAGTCTGGAAAAGAGAGGGCTCAACACACTGCCAGCTGAATACAGCTGAAAGCTGAGACCATGCACGTCACCTGGACAGCAGGTTATAAAGCTCTCCCCACTGCCTGTACAGACCCATCCTCTACAGCCACAATACCCTGAAGCAAAGAATGGTGCGTTACGGCTGTCCCAGCTACGGCACATCTACACAGCCAGTACAATGAGAAACAGCATACAAGAGGTGATACTGAGAACTCTGTCATCTCAACAAACAGCTTGAAACAGAAAAGGACTTGCATAAACCATGGCTTGCTACAGCTCTCCTAGCACTCCCCCCTCCTCCAGCAGAAGAGAGATGAGGATATCTCTTGCCAAGGATGGAGCAGTTTTTATTCCAGACTCTTCTGGGCCTAAAGAAACCAGTGAGATACTTTCCCTAAATAAATTTAAGTGTAATTTGGAATTACGCAAGAGCGTGTGTTTCTAAGGTGATTAAGAACCATTTCAGTAGAATGATGGGAATCTGTTTCCCATGGGGAAGAAAGGCAGAAGCAGCCTGAGCCACTGAGTCAATGTATTTGAAGCAATTTTTTGCTGTTTGCCAGCGTTGGCTGCTCACCAGCATTGGCATTATGACAAGAAGCATCTCTGGTTTACAAAGCATCCACAAACACATGCACATTTTGAAAGCACCTTGCTCACCAGGTTTACACAAAATGCACACGATGACGGTAAGCATGTAACTTGTGAAAGGGAAGGTGAAAGCAACTCCTGAAGACAGACTCTTACTCCAAAGGAAACAGCTCAGAAGTCTAATGAGTCTGTAGAAAACACAAACAAGTCTTTCTATAAAGCGCTATAGTCCCAACAATCCAAATTAAATAACTGGTAGACGGAAATTGAAGAACTAAGTGTATCTTCCCGAAAGCACTCACCAACAGCCTTTAGAAATCAGGGTAGACAATCGGAAAAACATAGCCAGGAGTGATTTTATGGGTCAAATCCAAAATACTTAAACCTCAGATAACCAAGTGGCAGCCACTGAACAACACAAAAAACCACTCCCTGCAGGAACAACTATTCACCAAGCAGGCAGAGCATTTAACAGCAGCAATTGGCACTGCTTAGTGAACCAGCAGACCACACTGCAGCAACTTCCAGCTGATCAAAGCTCTACCCAGCATGGGTCCTCAAGGGAAGCACAGATCTTGATGACTATCTCAGATTCTGAGAAGGAAAGTCAAGGAGTAATTTCAACAGGAAGATAATGTGGAAGTTGTTCTTTTCCTCCATTCACCAAGTCCTGAGCCAAGCCTTCGCAGGCAATATGGACTCAAGTATCAGACATTTGCAAAAGGCATGAAACCTATTTGTTTTACTACTTGCAACCACACCACTAACACCACGTCTTACAGTTGGGGCCTGCAGGAGACCCAAAGCAGGCGAGCAGGCATGCTGGTGAGCAGCAAAAAGTCCTAGGAAGCATATGCAGGCAACATGAAGTCCTCCGTGGCTGCAGGTCCAAACTGGACTCCTACCCGAGTTGTTGATTCAGCCCAACAGAAAGGATTGATCCTGGATTCCTGGATCAGACTTCAAGTAGTTGTCTCACGAAGAGGCGGGGGGGGCGGGGGAGAAATCACCTGCACGGATCTATGGCACCAGCCCAAAGCTGTAAATAAGCTCCCAGAGGAATGAAAGGCCACCACAAGCCTCTCTTTACTGCTGCAAAGGCCAGAGACATTTCCTCAGCCTGTCTTCTCCAAATGCATAACACCTTCACAAACACAAATGTTGTATCCTCTGTGCTCTTGCTAAAAGACAGCATAAATAAAAGCAATCACATACATCAGTTACGAAACTGCTGGCTGGTACGTAGCTGATGAAATGCGCACATAGAAGATCTTCTGCTGGCAAGAAGCAAGAATGAGATCATCTGGAAAACAGAACATGAATATTCTGACAAAATCCTCAAGTTTTAGCACAGAAGCAGTTTAAAAAGGTTTATCGTTGGATAACAGAAGCGTACTACTACCATCAGAGATCTGTACAACTGATCAGCTCCAGAAGGAAAAAAAAATTATATTAAAAAAATTTTTTTAAATCTTCTTTTCACTCTCTTATGACAGTGAAGACATTGAAGATGCAGTTGAACCACACAGGCCATATATAGCAGATCCAAATTAGTCTTCAGCCTTACCACATCTGTAGCCATTTCAAAATTGTTTTAGGAAGGGCCTAGTGCCATCGGCAAACTGCACAGCATCCATGAATCTACGGCTCTGAAGGTGCTCATGACACTGAGAACAGCAAGATACCTTTGTGCACACAAAGAGGAGCTCGATGTGCACCCTCCAAACACACTACCACTCTCAGCTGCCCATTTTCATTAGTTAGCACTTCAATCTTTCTTATTAGTAACTTTCATACAAAAGAAAGTGTCCCTTGTGGGTCATCAGAGCACACATTAAACTGTGGTCTCCAATGCATCTGCTGTCCCAATTATAAGCAAAATACAATCTCTTGGCCTCACAGGTAGCTTTCCTGAAGCTACCCATCTGAGCTTCACATCACACCTCAGCAGCTCTCAGTGATGAGAGAACTCTGAGCTGGTGAGGTACCACTTGTATGGGATAGTCACAAAACTGCTGGAAGCAGACAAGGTAACTCTGCATCTGTGTCCTTTCCCTGGAAGGTTTCAGCTTCACTTAAAAATACTGAGCAAAACCAAACCAAAGAAGCACACAGAGACATACTGACATGATGCCTCCTTTGAATGTTATGTCAATGGAGGCTCCCCAACCAGAGGCAGGCTCTTCCAAAACTCACCACATCCAACTCCACATATTGTGTAATCCCCCCAGTAGTGTTAACTCCCCAAGGAATCTTCCATCACCTTTTTTATTTATAGACTCAACCACATGTGACATACTGAGTTTACAACACACAGACAACACTTAGAACCAACTTTGCCTAAGGATTTCAAAAACAAGTAAACTCTCGCTGAGCACACAGGTCTGATAGACAAGAGGCTGCTGCTTAGGAGGCACCTGCCATTCTGCACTGCAGTGGTGAATTTCCCTGCTCAGAGTTATGAACTGGAAGGAGGAGTAAGTTTATTTCAAGGCAGATTCACCCAACATGTTATTTAACAGGTCTGTTCCCTCATATTAGGAACTGTTCCCAACCCAGCTCTGGGGTTTAGATTTGAACCACTCAGATGGGTTTTCTGACTACATATCTTATAATATGTCTATGCCAGAAATCCATTTGATTAATACTAAGTCATGATCACAGCAATACTGGAGGCTTCTGCCCCACAGTACAGCACGGTGGCCAGGCTGTTCCCATTTTCAATAAGCCCCAACCATTTCAGCTCCTTAATTCTAATGACAGATTGTTCTTTTCCCATCTGCCATTTCCCTCCCCCTGTGCTAGGGGAGAAATTAGACACCAAAGGCGGAGCATACTCTGCTCTTTAGCTTTCAGTAACCCCTAAATAAAGTGTATGCAATTGACTGGAACATTACTTATTCCCAAACTACATTTTTTTTTAACATATATGTATATATACACACATATACACACACACACACACTCACACATTTATACATTTACACATACATTTATACATCTAAATGAAAAAGGTATAAACATTAAAGGACATTTCTGGAAAGATAAGTACTGAATGATGTTTTAATCAAATATTAATATATTTGATATTGTATTTCGTGGTCAACTGAAGACACCCTTCACTTACACATACAGGAGTAGAAATGGCTATGTCATTAAAAAACTGCAGGAATTAAGTAGTCGGTACAACCCCTGTGTTCAACACAGTTCTTTCTGATCCTTATTTACACAAATACTCGGTTCAGATTCAGACCCCATCGCAACGGTCCGGGGCATGGGTCAAAATAGGCAATTGGTTTTGACTCCATCACGAGCTGCCTTTGCTACAAGTGATAGCTGTTGGCTGTACAGTGCAGGATTTCTCTTTGCAAACCCATAATAGAGTTGCACAAGACAAAAATGGTTGCTTTCCTCATCTTCACACATTCTCCCAGAAGCAATAAAGGTTTGCTTCCCTACTTACCTTGCTGTTGCAGCTTGTAGTCTGTGGAGTATGCCTTGCCTATGATGTTCCACACAGGCCTCAGACAACCAAAAAGTCCCTCAAGAAACCCACCACTCCCACTGCCTGATCTATTGAACTGGACTTTAACATCATCCGCTCCACTGTTGCTCTCTACGTCCATAGTGTTCCTGTTGCCCTGAGGAATGGCTGTTTCAGACTCATCCTGCTCTCGTAGCTGCAGCACGCTGTTCTCAAATTGGTCCCTAGAGTCCTCGCTGATGCTGGTCAGCACTGCTGCAGTGACCGGGCTGCTCATGTTTTCGATGAGGTCTGCCTGCAGCAAGCCCTTCTCACGCACATCCTCTATGAGCTCAGGGGATGGCTGGTTTCCAGTAGGTCCATGTTCATCATGTAACCTACTAAAGTCTTTGTCTTCACAGAAAGCTTTGCCGACTGAGTTTGGAGAGGAAGACAAGCTCAGGCGCTCCTGAGTACTGGCCATGATGCCGTGAGTGTGCATCAAGGAGATGGTCTGAGTTGGTACTTAGAGAATTAGTACAACACAATTCAGATGTGACACACGGACCCAGTACCTGAAACAAGAGGAAAAAGAACAACTTTCAAATTTTTATTTAAGTATTTTCACTACCTGCACTTTCACAGAGGCAAGCTGATAGTTAACTAGCCATTCCAGACACTGCTGATACTTAGTAAATAATTACTGCCTTAAAAGAAGCAGATAAATTATTCCAACTGAAACTCCACTCACACAGTACTCTCAGTAACCTATTGCAGGAATTGCCCAGTAAACAAAAACGACAAGTTTTAAAACAAAAGCCTAAAGGTCAAAACTGTGAAAGAGTCTTTGCAGCAAAGAGCTGTTTCTTCATGGTTATTATAGCATTTATGAGACTGAAGCTGACCCCCAGGTCAGGTATGGTTTGAGTCCAGTCACTATTTCTGGGTCTGGCACAGCCCACAAGCTCAGGATTCCTCTGCAAACCTTTGAGACAATGAGTCAGAGAAAACACAGCGATACAGGTGGCCTGAATCCACCACGGGATGGTTTGTAGCTGCTCCCTCAGAACCCCACCTAGTCATGACCATCCTCGTCCTTTAGTTTAATCCTTTCAAGTTCAATGTAGCAAGATATATTAAAGTCTCTAACCACATACACCTCACTCGCATAAACAACTAAGAGCTTCATGGGAACCACATACCCTCCTCTTTGATATCCCTCCTTCCACAAGCCTGAAGAGCATCTCGTCCCACTGCTCTCTGCTTTTTTCCTGCATGAAGTTCCTGGTAGGTTACATATAAATTCAGAGCTGGTGTCCCTTTTAAAAAGTTCCCCCATCTCTTGCTACGTGTGCCACTGATAGACCCTTTTCCCACAATCCAGTATAGTGCCACCTTTCTACAGAGCCGGGCTGACACTGCGATAGCTGCCCTTTTCTGGGGTAAAGCCACTTCTGAAACAACAGTCTCTAACTTTGTGCCACAAGTAATTAAGCGCATTCATCCTGTAACACGGAACAAAGTCCGATTTTAAATTCCATATGAAGTTCAGAGGAGGGAAAAAAAGGCATTAACAGAAACTATTTTGTTAAAAAGTAAGATCAGTTACACCAGGTGCAAAGTCCCAGGCTCTGCAAACAGCCACTGAAAGGAAGCAAGAGGTGGCCAGGTAGCAGCCAGCCAATCGAAAGGGAACAGCTCAGTCTCATAAGCTCTCAAGATGAGGTCATTACAGACATGAGAGATAAGACCTGCGGCCTGGTGTATGAAAAGCTCATGTCCTGGGCTTCAGCCCCTTTCCAACAGCAGAAGCAGCAATTAGGAACAGCCAGGAGCTTGTTTTACATTCCTATACTTCTGCCTGATCACATGGGATATGCATAAAAGCTTTATCAGGAGAACATCATTTCACTTGTAAGTTTCATTCCTTAAAAGAAAGCAAAAAAGCAAGTGAGGCAGAAATTGCAGCACAGTCCATACCAGTAAAGGAGCTGAATTAGACTTGTGCCAGCAGCTCAGGAGTTGGTTATTCCTGAGCTACCAGTGACCAGTTACAATGACCGATTCCCCTGTGTGGGAAGCTGTAGGGTGACTGCAGTAGTACAGTCACTACTAGTAGTAGTTGTTAAACGATCACAGATTTTGTTGCCGATATAAAGAAGAAAAGGGAAGAGTTTCAGACTTGAACAGAAATTCAGAAAAATACTAAAACAACTCCAATTCAGTGTTCCTGGGCACTGCCCCCGCTCATTTCAAAAGTCTGCGAGAGACAGTGATTCTTTAAACAAAAGTAAGATGTGACCAGTGTTCCTACAGAGGAATCTGCTTTTCACAGTACAGCGTATGAAGCAATGTAAATAAAACATCAGTCAGTTTCCCCTGAAAAGAAACTCTGGAGTAAGAGCCAAAGCAAGAATTTGAGGTAACAGTGTCCCAATGTATCTGAAACTTAAACAATGGGAAGCACATTAAGGATTAAATCAGACTTGGAGGATAAAACTGTGTTGTTGTTACATGACTCTCAGAGTACACAAATACAGTCTAGGATTTTGCTTTTACCTTTCTATATAGTTTTCTGATTTCAGAATGCTTGATCATATAGATTTAACAGAGAAAGAACAGCTTTTCCTGCACATATTTCATATTTTCCTCATTTTAAATAGATTATTAGCATCGTATGCAACTCCTCCTCCCCCATGCACTTCTCAGTATTGCCTGGAAAGTTAAGGTTCTCCTCCATCCTGCTGCTGAAGCACCACAACATACACACATGCTGCTAATAGCTACTAGACCGCCCTGACCCTCAGTTCACTTCTACTTTTGTATTATTTGTCCTACAGATGCCTGCAGCCTCTCACCATGCTTGGGGCTCAATATAGCACATAGTGCAAGTGTACAAAGAATCCTATTTTTTTATCTCAACACAAAGATAAAGTTTAGGCAAATCACGTGCATTTTCTGTGCTATATAGTAGGCTGATCACAGAATCACAGGCATACCGGCTGCAAAGGACCTCTGGAAGTTACCGGGTTCAACCTCCTTCCTACCTGAGGCCAGGCTATCACAACACAGTTCAGCCATGGCTACAAACAGCCAAGAACAAACCCCCAGATTTAGGGACATCAGGTCTGTCTTCCCAGATCAAATTGCCTTCTCCAAGACTTGGATGTTTCAAATTAAAAAAAGCAAACAACCCTCTAAGCACAGTGTCCTGCCATCTTACATGCGCTGTATCTGCTTCATGGGGAGAGGAGGCAAGCAAAAGTTACAAAATCATTTTCAAACTGGCATGATACAGCCTTATTTAGGTACTTACATAAGGAGCCTAATTTTTCAGAGGTGTAGTGAACCCATTGTTTTCAAAGCATGAGACAGCAGCATTTATTTTAAAACAACTTCGTATCAAGCCAACTTGAAGTGGTCCAGATACATTGGTGGGGGGTAGAAGGCAGTTCCTGCCACAATGCATCAATGCTGACTTGTTGGGGAAATTAATTTCTTTAATTATCCTGTATTACAGTAAATTCTGCAATGTGCAACCTCTTGCCTCAGCAAAATTTGATTTAAGACAGATGAATTAGGTTGTCTTTGACCTTGCCATCTGTTCAAACAAAGGATGAAGAGCAATTCTCAATCTTTATCATCATGCCTCCCCTATTCTTTTGGTCAGAGTACCAACGGTATGGCTGAGATTGTTATGCTGAACTCTTCCCAATAAAAGAATCTTAATTTCATTCAATGAAAAGAAATACATTTTCTTGAAAGTTTAAAGTTTCATTACATACAGACTGTTTGTCATTTGGGATGTTTATGATCTGTATGTGGCTCCTTAACTTTTACAGTGAAGAGCACAGTGAAGCTGTGTTCTGTTTCTATCTTAGTGACGCTTCTGCTGTAGCAGTCAAGTCAAAAGCTGAAAGCTCTGTGTGTGTAGGAGGATTGCGTGCATATTTAAGATACTCAGATTTCACAAAATGCTGCTGCAAAAGCAAACTTGAAGGCAGACCCTCTGATTTGAACTATTTTGAAGAGTTCATGCACTTTGCAGCTCACAAATTTATTTTACGTCTATAATGAAATTGGAGGCTCAGTGTATAATTTTGTACAACTGCAACTTCTTGTAAATGACTCCATTTTCAGGCAAGGCATTTTTCCAGACAAAATCCCACCATGCCCAGACAAAAGGAGCACAAAGTGCACCTCTTCCGAGAAGAGCAAGACTGCACCTCAACACACCAGACAGCCTGAACTGCAGTTAATTAGTTAGAAAAGTGACAGTTTACCCAAAGCAGCACCAGAGCAGGTGAATCAGTTATCACAAGGCATGTTCTCACATTGCCTGATACTGCGTCTGCTCCTAGAAACATCTGTCTAGTAAGTCTTCTCACACACACAGAGCAACCAAAGCATGCAGCTGCCTATACAAGCCCAATATTTATGAGAGCATCAAAGCAATGGTCAGGCTTGAAGACATGGCAGAGTTAAGCAAATGCCTTTCATGGACCTTAATGGAAGTTTCTCCTTTAAAGAGCTGTGCTAAAAATAGAGTAGCAAATCACAATTCCAGATACAGCATACAAACAAAATGTTAGTATGCTGTAAAGGTTGCATAAGCACAAAGCAGTCACCATTCAGTCTCCTAACAGCACAAATGTCTGGTAATATTAAGCTAGCTTCCTTGAAGCGCTATTTCCTACGTTACCCAGTCAAACATATTCTATGCTTGCACTTCCCATACACTAAGGAAATAAAAGCTAGTGTCTGGTGCACATTCAAGGGCTGAAAACAGAGCAGCTGGCAGAAATTAGCCGGCTGATACATGGCAAATACCAAGGACCTGTCCATATCACTACTTCAATCCAAGCCCTGGAGTTCCCTTGTTTTTTCCAGATACTCAGTGTAATTTCCTTCTGGCTACATTATGTACAGCAAGGTAACTACACCTTTCTGCAAGGATAACACGACTGTAATTTATGTGTGTATCATCTCAAGACTAGTGGAATACTCCTGGCTTGAGATAATACCGTAAAATGTTCTAGAATCTAACAAAACCGCAAAAAACATGCTTATGTGTAGTTACATGCTTAAGTATAGTTATCTTGCTACACATTTCTTGCAGTTGAGTACTCCTGCCCCTTGTAATTATCTCTCAATTTCTACACCAAATTTTTACAACACATTTATACACAGTCCTCTTTCATATCTTGACCTTCCACACCATACAACTTCAGCACAGGAAAGCACTGGGAGTTGCTGAGTTGGCAAGTGTCAGAGCTTTGGCTGTCACTTCTGACCTTTGGGGTTTGAAATCACGTTATTTTATTACACAGGATTCCAACAAACTTTTTCTTTTCCTGGTCTACTGGTGAAGAAAATGCTGTATGAGTGGATCAGATACTCCTCTTACACTGCACTTTGATGGTTTTACGTTACTTGGAATATACGCTTGTGTTTTGCATGGTTGTTTTGAACACAAGACACAAACTGTAATAGCAGATTTATTAGTAGGAAATAAGTTACACATCATCAAAATGCAACCTCTTCATTTTCAGTGGTTTTGTTTTAGGGTTTTTTT